AATGAAATCAGCGGACTTAGACTTGACTCCACCTGAATATGGTGGTAGAATGCACAATCAAAAATTGGTAAACAATTAATTTATCTGAGGATTTTGCTTTTCTCAAAGTCAACGAAAGGTCGGTGAAAATAATTATCCAAGTTTTACGTACTAGTACTTTTTGCTTCTTAAAATTTTATACATTGAATTATAGATAATCAGATGAGAAAGAATTACCAGTGATGCCAAAAAAAAAAAAAAAAAAAAAAAAAAAAAGACACCAACGTTAAACTTTGAGAAAAAATCAGTAACTCTCGATCCCACAAACAGACTTCAAAAAGGTATTGATGTAGATATTTTTTTACATTCCTCTAAGACCCTCTAAATTATCTTATTTTGCATAAAGTTATTCGGATATATATATCACCCATATCATTCATAATCCAATAATTGACTATGTTATTCTCTTAAAGATGAAATGTTCTGAAAGCTATCAATTTAAAAAGTTTAAATTGTTAGATGATGAAAGTTGTTTTATTACGTAAACAGAACACAAAAACAAAGTCAATAGTATGCATATCAATACACTGTAGATACATTACAGGTAGAACATTCGAGTGTCTTTGACCATGTCTAAAACAATATATATATTTAAACGATCGACGTTTCCAATAGCACTGAATAGCTTGACTGAAAGCGTGGCCTTGTGTATGCACTATTCGTTATGATCCCCTAAAATCTCGTCTGATCTTGAATTGGGTTCAGTCTTGGAAACCATGTTTCATACACAGTTAAAATTTAATTGTGATCAACACATCGATTTGTTTTGCATTGGCACAAATTAAAATGCTACACATCGCTTAAATTTTTACTATCATGCCGTATGTGATCATATACAACAAATATTGCCACAAATTAAAATGCTACATATCGCATATAATTTTTACTATCATGTCCTATGTGATCGTATGCAATGTGATCCTGGAATAACTGGCAGATTTGAGATGTTTATAGTTCTCAAGACGGCTCGTCTGTGATCAGTCTGTCCAGCGTTTTTTTTTTTTATTTTAAATACTGTGACATTAATAAACTCACTGTTGAATATTGTAAATGTGTAACTGCATTTGATCGATGTACATGTATATCTTATGCCGTATACCCCAGTATATGTCAATCAAATTATATTTTCAATCAGTTCACAGTTCAAAGATGTTGACAATACAGAATGATAATTTGACATTTGATCTCAGAATTGATTGGTGTCTCTGGTGTTTCATGAATGTTTCTTTATTTTCACTTTGAAATAAAATTTCAATTTACTGTTCCGATCAAACATAAATATAATTCTACCTATGTCTTTTACAGGGTTTTTTTTTTTAATATGAATAGACCTTATTTGAGAAAAGAAGAGTATTTTGATACGATCAACGGAAGGTTATTAAGCAATTAAAAATTCTATATTTTATTACCATCCCCAGTGAAACCACTACAATAAAAGAATGTTTTGCGTTGACACATATAACAAGTATCTTATTTGCAATAATTTTTGGAATGAATCTTGAGATATACAAACTATCTCTTAATTCATAATCTTTAGAATTTGATTATCTTCATTGGCATGTTCTGGACACATTTGAATGATCTGTGGGTCAGTGGAGTCACATACTGACATAATGCTGGTCATAGAATATTATTTCAATGTCCGTACGTTAGAAAACTATGTGTTACCTTAGTTTTTATATCATATACCTTCTATCTTGTATTGTGAACTAAATATAGGACTTAAAAGAGTGTAAATCTAAGGGAGACGATTTTAGAACAGAAAAAAACCGTAAAAAGCATTTCAGACACCAAGGGAAAGATTTACGTTTATACTTGACAAATTTATTACGACCAATTCTCTCTCTCTAAGGGTATCTTGACCTGCTGGAAAGAGGAAAGACATATAAAATTATGTAAATATACAGTAAATCTCAACAGGACTGGACACTTTAAGAATTTGTGTCATGGCTGACCGTAAGTTGTAGCGCCGACTGTCACGACTCCTGGATTTTCAGACATCTTTACATGTACCATGTGGGGACACGTGTCCATAAATGACCAAATGTGACGCTAATGGACAAGAGAGGTAGTTTGCAAGGAGTATTTTAAAAAGTATCAAGAGAATTGTTGGAGATTTTCATATTTTTTTCTTGACATTTAACAGAAAAATGTAACAAAAAAAATTCATTACATGACTGTTTTATGTCGAAAAGATGGTGCATTTTTAAAGCTACAGTTTAAAAAAAAATACACGATTATATATCGTTATGTGCATCGAGATAATGCTCATATCGTAATGATTGCTGATAAAACAAATATTTTGAATACTTGATATACTTAGAAAGGTCTTGAAATAATAGAAATGCCCAAGTATAATGCAGCCTGAAGGTGTAGGTCAGTTTAATGTTTCAGGTTTTTGCTGAAGACAGCAAAGTTTTTTGAAAAAGTTATACTTGTATTAAATACAATTTCCTACATTTTCTATACAGAACGTTTCTTTTCCAGATGGTTCTTTTTAAAGATTGAAAATCTTGAAAAATTAATGAGTCGTAAGAAAATTAGCACATCAGAAAATTATATCCCTTGCCTCGAACAGCATTTCAACCAAAAAATAATTGAAATTTTTCTCCTCATGAAATTTTTTAACCATCACAAAAGAGGAAGAGCATAGTCCGAAGACTGTAAAATACTTCAACTCTGTATACCGTCTTCCAAGGAAGACGGTAATTATAGCTTGAACCTGGATTTTTTTTTAATTTAATATTAATTTTTCAAGATTTTCAATCTTAAAAAACCGACAAAACGAACAGCGGAAATGGCAGTGAATGAAATTAAATAATTTATCATGGAAATTATTAAAAATTAAAGGTATTTATAAATATATTTTGACATGGTAAACAGAAAGTTTCTTTATTGCATGCCAATATTACAGCTTATATTTATTCTTTTTTCTTTATTTTGCACTGTCTTTCATATGGTAGGGCTAATGTCTGTAAAACGTTGTTGAAATAATACAAAGTTAAGAGATGCTAAAGAATAATACGACCTGAAGGTGTAGGTCAGTTTACTGTTTAATATTTTTGCTAAAGACGGCAAAGCTTTTTGAAAAAGCTATACTAAAGTCTTGTATTAAATACAATTTCCTACATTTTCTATACAGAACTTTTCTTTTCCAGAAGGTTTAAATAGTCAAAAAAAATTGCCATAACCCTCTTTAAAAAAAGACGTCGGTTAGGCCATTCCAAGTTTTTTTTCTCTGTTTCTGTAATGTAATACCACAAAAAAAATAATAATAATAATTTAAAATATAAAACACAGACTCTATAGTCATATAATGACATCACTCAAAGGATTTGATTTCTATTGATCTTATTAAAAGATCTTTTCTTTAGCAAAAATCAAAATATTAAATGATTTAAATATACCTAATATGACATATTGTAGACAAATAAGTAGAGAAACTTACAGAATTCAAAGATTTCGACCAGAATAATCAATTTCAGGCTAGGACCCGCGATTTTGTTTTTGTTTTCCCTGTTATTGGGTGTCAAAAACTAAGGCGCACGTGGACGCTAAACATAGAAAAAAAAACCTTGGAATGGCCTAAAGGCCGAAAAAATGTGTAATTCTTGACAAATGTAAACAATTATAATACTTTTTTTTATACCCATGTTTTAATAACATTTAAATATAAACAGCAAAACAACCATCCGGATACAGATGTCTATCTCTTTTTTTTTTAATATAAATCCATATTGTACAAAGTTAAAATAAATTACAAACACTGAAACAACCTAGCAAATATGTTACTATTAAATTCACAAGTATATTTGAAAGTCCTGGAATCAATGCTGTTTTAATAACATTTATTTCTGGACATCGTGAATCCGATTAAAAGTGTTTATCTCTCTTTTAAAAAAAATACTATACTAAGTAAAATAAATTAAAAATGTGCCATTACGTTGATTTAAAGTATCAAAACACACTCTTTCTATAAAGATCATCATCTGCGCATCTTTAGCTAATATTACTACATATTTTTACAATGCACACAACCCTCACAAAAATACTATAATAAACTATAGTTTTCACTATAGTTAATCAATGCATTTTAATTTTGCATTTAATGCATTTAACATTGTTATATTTAACTTTCCCCAATTCTTACATGCAACGTTTTGATATTAAAGGGAGATATTACTTGTATATTCAAGACTTATTTCTAAAATTTACATCTTTGGTATGCAATTAACGCAATATTGAGACTCTAAATCTTGAAAAAAAAAGTTAAAGAGTAAAGTTACATAGTAAATAAAAGTATTTACTATAGTTAACTATAGTTAACTTTGTTTACTAAAATAAATTATAGTTAACTACAGTAATTTTACTAGATATTGGAACCCTCAAAGAACAGAGGCGTTTCCCAAAACCCTGATATCAGCATGTGGAATTTAGCAAATAAAAATGTCTCTTTATCATTCAAAATATGACCCATTTCTATTTTTCAATGTTTCTTTTTTTTAATAATGGAAGTAAAAATAAAATTCGTATGGTCTTACAAAAAAGTTATCTTTTATTTACAGATATGAAATTTGTAATCACTCCTATTTTTAGATAAGTGTGAATGTTAAGATACCATAAACAAAAGTAACAAAAAGGTCATAAGATTGTAAATTGTCGGATATCTAAAATTTTATATTTTTGTTTCATAAAACACAGAGCGCTAGCTATTCTAGCTATCAATTTCCTACACTAGTATCAGATACATCATGCGTAAGAAATTTCAAATATGCTTGACTGTGCTTTCCGAATTGGAAATTACCTCAAGATTGATTAAAATATATAAATCAAAATTGACAAAATTTGGAAAAATATTCTTAATCCTTATTTTCGTATGGATTTCGTATACGCTTTGAATCAGAATCAATACTGGTTTTCATAGCTTTCATTTAGTTCCTTAAGTTCAACCTATCAAAAATTTATCTGTTTTTCTTGATGTCAAATAAAGGGCCAAATTTGGTCTTTCTCGTAGCTTGTCCTTTTTTTATCGGAGAAACCTCACATTTATAATTTTCATATACAGTGCTCCTTTCATGTAATTTCCTTTTTTGTCAGCCAAACACTTCTGAAATACGGAAACCTTTCCTATTTGCGTTGCTAAATTCTTTGTATTGTATCGTATTTTCGATTGGTTGACGCACAAAGTTCTGAGACTGTGCATTAAACCCAAATGCATTACCAAACGCTTCAGTCGGTGAAGGCTGTGTTGGACCATCCCCGAAGAAATTGTTTAGATAATCAGGGGAGTGTTGCTGTTGTTGATGATGCTGTTGAGGTTGTTGATACTGTTGGTGCTGATGTTGCTGTTGTTCATAATTGTTATAAAAAGAGGGTGCTGATGACATTAGATTAGGAGGAATAGTTGTGATTGGTTGTTGATAACGAGGCAGAGTTGGATATTGTCGCGGAAGTGGACGTTGTGTGGTGTGTGGTCTTCTATTTATAAACGCTTTTGTTGGAATAGGCTGGTGATGATAAACAGGGGGTGTTGCTATTCTTTCGTGACGGAATCCCTTATTATTATTATTCGTCTCAAGAGGATAGACGTCCGGGGGAACTTGGGTTGGTAGGGAATTAACAGGTGGTATCGTCTTAGGAGGGACTTGCGTTGGAAGGTCTGTGGTTATTTTAGATTTTAATGCTTTCACTTGAACACCCATTAAATCTAATTTTGATTTCTTGGATGGCGATGGTACGTTGTTTTGTATCTCGAACATTCCGTGTTTCGTTTTCTTGGGGGATTGCTTGACATTTTTCTTTTGCTGAGGTATTTGCTTTCTGGGATCGTGCCTTGAGAAATTTATCTGTACCTGTCTATTGTTTCCTACTCTATTGTGGCTTTGTATCATAGGAAAACTCCTCTGTTTTGCAGGACTAGCCTGTACCGGTGTATGATGAGGACGTTGCTGTTTTTGAAATTCTGTCTCAAATGTTCTAATTTGTTGGTTTTCCTTTGGTTTTTGTCTTCCTTGCTGTTGGCTTTGTCCACTTTGTTGAGCATCTATTTGTTTCCCTGGAGCTGGAGTTGGCGGCAATCGTTTCTTAATGTTTCCACCAGTTCTAGTTATTGGCGACAATTTTTGCTTTGATGTTACCTTTTCCACAGATAATGAAACATTGCTGCTCTTTGTTGAGTTTCCGGATACGTCTTTTATCGACACGGGCGTTTTTGTCTTGCTCTTATCAGTAGTAATATTTTTGTTCACGCTTTGTGCACTACTTGTTTCAATTACTCCTGTAATATTTCCTTTCGATGCTTCTGTAGCTATTGAAGAAGGTGGGGTGTTCGTAGTCGTTGTAGTGGTGGATGGTTCGTAGATCAGAAGCTTCACTAAATTCATGAGCTTTGCTAATGTTTTTGCAGAATGCCGCACAGGAGAATCTGTGGTTGCCGGCAGTGCTGGGGTAGTAGTCAACTGAATCATATCAAATATTCTGAAATCAAATAGATTTTGAGTGGTTGGTGGACGAGGGGACGTAAAGGAATCGTGTAAAACTTGAGCAATTTTTGCCGCAACGTTTTTCACAGGTTTATTTGTTTTGGCAGACGAAAATCTGATGATGTCAACAAGATTCAAAATACCACGTACAACGGAAGTAGGAATACTGCCTACAGTATCTTTGAAACCTCGATAGAACGAAGGTGCTGAGTTTTTAATGGACATGAACACGTTGTATGGAATATTGGGCATCCAATACTGAACTCCATGTAAAACCTGCGATGGAATTCTAGACAGCGAAAACTGTAGCAGATTCATCAACTCGTATGCTTGGTGTGAAACAGCTTCAAATAATGTGGGATCGCGGAAATGTTTCAAATCCATTACATTGGTCCCAAAACCAATAGTGGTATCAATATATCCAGGATCAGATGCTGAGAATATTCTCTCCTCTGGCTCCTCGGGAGGAGGTTGTTGTCTGATTGGGTTATATCCTAATTGGGCATTCTGGTGAACACCTGCTTGAACTCTCTGATGAGCACCAGGTGTAACTCCATGTACAAGATAATCCAACGGGTGATAGATATTCATACCATTTCGATCGGCTGGACTATCCAAAGATTGTCCATTCACTTCTATTTCTTCTGGTACATCTGTAGTGTTAACTCTGTCCGATCGGCCAAGTTTACTTGCTTTTTCACTCTTTCTTATTCCGTAGACAGTTGCAGGAGTTACAGGACGAGTTCCCATATTGTTATGACCATGAACTCCATGGACGTAATTATCAAGCGGATGAGGAGTACCCACTGCATTTCGATCCGCCGGACTATCCAGAGACATTCCATTAACTTCAATCTCTTCGGGAATGTCCGTCGTATTGAGCCTGTCGGTACGATCTAGGCTTCGCAGAGTGTCATTTGTAGAATTTCTATATTGTGGAAGTATCTCTGGATCAAAAGTTGGCTTTGCTGAGGGCGATTTTTTAACCACTATATTTACGGTTGGCGATTTTATTGCATGCTTTGTAGGAGGTGCTAAGGTCATACCTATTTTTGTTCTTTTGAATGGACTTATTGTGTTCGCAGCTCTAAGACTGATAATCTTTCCTCCACCAGGATTTCTCTGTCCATGCATGACTCGTCTTATTCCGGCGCTAGAAGGAGTGACTGCAGTACCTTCACGCCAGTTAAATGCAACAGCAGCGGGTTTTGCTTTTGTTTTGTTCGATACGTTGTTGGCAGTGGAAGAGGCAGATGAGTTCGACGACTTGGGTGAAAATCCTGTCGCGTTAAGTCCCTGACCACTCAACACTTGCTCTATTAACATCTGCTGTAGTAATTGGTTCTGCAACTCAATCTGGGCATTCTGCTCCACTAACTGTTTCGCTTGAGAAGTCAGATTTGATATCTTTGCGTTTTTACTGCTACTGCTTGAAAATAGTCCGAAAGAGAATGGGACTTTGGTAGGAGGCTGAAGGTTTTGAGTCCTTTTAGTGCCACTTGCTGTATTTGTTTCAAAGGCTGCCATCTGTATAGGCCCAGTATGGAATGGTATCTGTGCTTGTTGCTGTCTTGGAGCCACTGTCTGACCAGTTGGAACAAGTTGAAAAGACTGCTGAACGGGAACTAACTGGCCATTAACAATCTGATACGTATTTTGACTTGATGGCTGCAATTGGAGTATCTGGCCCTGAACATCAACAAACTGGCCCTGAACCTGCGACCCAGGAATTCCAAGATTTTGTTGACCTGTTAACATTGGTGTTAGAGATGGCTGAGTATTGAAAGAAGTTTGTACTGCTGGAGCTTGGAATAGTCTACCGGCACCGTTTATTATTGTTTGTCCATTTGTTTGTATTGCCTGTGACATTATTGGCGCAGGGGTAGGCAATACTGGTCGTCTAACTCCGAAGCTTTGTTGATTTTGGAGGAGTGGCACTTGCACTGGCTGAAATCCAGTGGCTGAATTAGGTTGTGATTGTTGCTGCATAATAACATTTTGACTGCCACTAAGCTGGAATGGTTGCTGCTGGACGTTTTGAATTGATTGTGGTGCTTGTCCGAATAATGACAAAGGTCGTGATTGTTGTGGTACAGATTGCATCAAAATATTTGTAGGTTGTTGTGCTTGCTGTATAACATTTGCTACTTGAGGTTGAACTTGACCTTGGAGGTTAAATGAGTTGAGCTGATTTCTTGCTAATTGCTGATGCTGGATTTGTCGCTGCTGCTGTTGAAGTGAAAGTGAAAACGTTGGTTGTATTGGTTGATGGTTAACTATTGTCCGCTGTGGAAATCCAAATGAAGATTGTTGAACGACATTCTGTTGTGATACAACAGGTTGGGCAATAGGATTTACAACATTTGGAGGTTGTTGTGGTTGTTGCACCATATTGTTCATAGACACTGGTTGAGATCTTTGTCCTTGAATATTTGATGCCTGTACTTGCCCTTGTATGAAACCAGGGTTTAACAGACGACGATTGTCTTGAACGGTCGGAATAGGCGATTCTCGTATTGGTGATTGATTTGCTACAAAAATATGCGATTGTTGAGAACTTGATGAAGGTGACGGTCGTTGCCAAGGAACATTGACTGGAGGGTCAGTAACAGATCCTTGACCTCTAACATTTGCACTTAAAGAGAAGTCTCCTCCAGTCGATGACTGTGAACGGGACGAGGATTGTGAAACGGGAATGGATGGTGCAGAATTACGCCTTCTGTTAAACAACCCACCCAAAGAGCCAATTGCATTCATTACCGTACCCATCCCTGAACCCGATCGAGACGTTGGACTTCCGGATCTCGATGTACCTGAATTTCCTTCGGGGTCCTGTATGTGAACACCAAGCCCGAGTCCTATGTTTGGAATTCTCTCCCGAAGTCTGTTAATGAATTGGTTAATTGATGATGGAAACAAATCAGTATTTCCTCGGTCATTGAGCTGTTGATTTGCATCAGCGTTCGGCATAGGTCTTACACGTCCTCTTGGGTCACTTCCGGCTTGTAGACGCCCTCTATTGGAAACTTGATTGCTAATTCTGCGGACATTAAGCCTGCGCCTGTCCTGCGGGAATAACGTTCTCGCATTGTTGGTTCTTTGATTCTGTAAAATATTATCAAAGAGATTTAAAAAAAAAAAACCATTACGTGCATTTAATAGTGTGTTAATCTTGTTAACTTAATTTACGCGTTTAATGTCGTTACATTTATAGGTTTGAAAAATTGACATGTCATATTCAATCAGTTTAACAATAATTTTTGCTTGATTGTCAGTTAAATACATGTATATGCTTTTAGAATTGCAAGCCGGTGGACTCGGACAGAAGTACATGTTTATTTTCACTAGTTTATGTTTTTTTTAATCATATTTGTCATTCTACAAAAGAATCTTTTCATATTGTAGTAAATGTCTCTCGATCTGAGAAATGCATGAATTCATAAAGGAGTGAAAAAAAACCTCATCGCTTTTGCTTTCAGCGCACATAATGTAAAACAGCAAAACCATTGTATAGAGACTCAATATTTGAACCGCTATTCAACAAAAATCAAAGACGCCCTCAAGTTAGTCCTGGTTACCCAAAACAATCATGCTGTAAAACTTGATTGACTAGATCAATTTTTTTTCTTATGTTTTTATAATTTTGATTTATTTTTGTTTTGTTTTGTTTGTGCATGTGTTTAATATTATATGTCATGCATTTATATCCCGTCTTCAATTTACAGCAAGGGACTGTAACCAATAAATAGATATCATGACTTGTATTGACCTGATTATTCGGTCAACATGCAGATCATCTAATTTTCAATTCTGTCTGTCATCAGGGAATATGGCCTTTATGACAAATTTGACCCATCATCGTCGAAACAAGAAATGTTGCAACTTAATTTATGCATGTCACCATAACATTCTTTATTACTAACTCCGATGAAGGCATAACCAACTTATTTACATTTCCAACTATTAATAGATAAGATTCAACACGTCCAATGCGCCGATTCAGCTGGTTTAAGATGTAGCCTGGGATGAGTGACCACTTCATTTGTTTCTGTGGGAAATGTGGTCAACTATGCGTGTGACATTGTGAAAATTATTTTTGGTGAGAATCAAGCATTTTTCAGGGATGGCAATCGGATAATTTCGTTATAAAACCGGTTAACTAGTCTTATTTTTTTCTGACCAATTAACCGGGTTAATCGAACAGATATCTGAATGTAATTTTATTATGAATTATTCAATTTACATCATGTATATTCTTACAAAGGAATTCGAAAAAAAAAAAAAACTAAACTCAAAGACAATCAGAATTCGTTACCTTACATGAAAATTATACTAGTATTTCCTTTCTCTTTTATTCCTACTTTTAAGACTTGATGACATGGACCACTAGTGATAAATGTCAACTTCCCAACTTATTCACAAGAACTCTTATGACGCAGATGAATCGCAAGATACTTTCCTTATAACAGGCGCGGATCCAGGAATTTTTCCCGGGGGGCGCGGGGGGGGGGGGGGGGGGGTCCAGCCCAGTCAAAAAAAAAATCCATACCAAAAATTTCTTGACAAGCAAAAAAAAAATAACCTAAATTCCTTTCCCTATCCAGAAAATTTCTTGACAAGCAAAAAAAAAAAAAAAAACAAAAAAAAAAAACAAACAAAAGCAAACACCCCCCCCCCCCCCGTAAAATTCATTTCCAAAACGTGAAAAACACTTATTTCGTGGTAGTGGGGTCCACGTATTCAAGGGGGGGGGGTTCCAAAGTCATTTTTTATTTGCTTCATTTCAATATATACATTTAGTAACTCGGCAAATTCCAGGGAGGGGGGGGGTCCGGACCCCCGACCCCCCCCCCCCCACCCCCAACAAACATCCGCGCATGTTATAAACTTAAAAGTTGTGGGAATTTTGAACTACCCGGTATTATCAGGTCAACACTGAAGGGGAAGGCGGTCTAATGACTACTTCTTGACCTCATTTCTCTCTATTTCTCTCTTTTTTGATCGTTGGATATTAAAAAAATGCGGAAGTGTTAAGATGTTTTGGTCTTAGGTTTCTGTACTTTTGTTTTTAAAAATTATCCTCCCGGTGCTTCTCAAAATATCGCCAAGCTGTCTATAGCATTTCGCTATATAAATCGAAAACTTTCGTAGTGATCAGTGATTTTTAAAACGAGAACAGTTACTCTGAAAAACGTTACCGAGTAGAAAAATAGTTCTTGCTTGGTATGGAATAGAAAGAGCTAGAATAGGTTTTAATTTTATCAGTAATGCATTCGTCATTACATGTACATTGTTTGCTTCTTATGTGTTACGGTGTAAAAGGGGGTATCTAAACTTTGATTATAGTATTCAGGTTTGCAGTGATATATTGTGGGAACATGTTTTGCCACTGCGGGGTTGTTGTGGATTAACAAATTGGTAAAGAATTCTGATGATCTTAGTTTAGCAGCGGTGTCTTCCACCTATTCCCATTAAAAATGAATAAATAAATAAATAACACACCCACCCAAAAACTCTCTAACTATTCCTTCTAATCGTGTGGTATTTTGATGGTCAATTTGTTTTTATAGTCTTTAAGGTTTACTAAATGTCACCTTACATTTATATGTAGTTAGCATTTTTTTTAAATACAGGTATACATATTATACGTTATTTCTGTGTAATATTTTATTTCCTAAAAGGAAATAAATAGAAAAAAAAAAAGAGGAGAAAGAGCATTGAACAAAGATATGACTGATACATATCCTTACCCAACATTTATTAATTAATATTTATACAGCAAACATTAATCTTCTATTTGATAAATTACTATTGTTCATAAAATAGTTTGTTGTCTTACATGAATGACCTTTACCTGGATTTTATACGATTTTTTTAAACCTCAAGTTGGCAAACGGATTTCACCCATGTTAAATTCGTCAGCAGACAAAAATGCAAAAAAAAAAAAAAAAAAAGGTCGGGTCTGGAAACGGGGTATAAAGACCGTAATTAAAAAAATGTCTATGTGCACATGCATGTATCACATACATTTATACATGTCAATTTGAATTTAAATAGCAGATATGGAAATAGCAGAAAGAATGGCACTGAGTCCAATGAAACGAAATCTTAAGGGATGTGTAAGTTCGGTAGAAAATGGAAACAAAAAAATAACAGGAGTAAGAGAAAAAAATCCAGAATTCTACCTCATCGAAAAAAAAATCATATATAGTCTCTACCTTCCACTTTTTTGTTGAAGGGATTATTTGTCATGCCTGGCTATACCGTGTGTATGTGGCACTAAGCACACACACGCACATGTAATGTTTGCACATTAAGGTAACGGGAAGCGACACATACCTTGACACTTTATCTTCTAATTGACGTTTCTCTTTAGTTACCTTTAATAATAAGTGACATACAAATCTCTTTTTTATGCATTGCTTTCAGAATTAGAACTGAAAATTGTAGTGGACGTTTAAATTCAATTTCAAATTCAAATACCAATTAATTTTCTTATGTACATGTAAAATACCATATATTTTGAGAATAAATAAAGGCAAAAAATCAAGCATACAATCACAATTAACCCCCCCCCCCCCCCGAAAAAATATATCTAAATCACGAAATCGGGAAAATAAGGTATCTTTTTGGGACATGCAGGACACTACCTTCTTTTAGTCCAATACAATTGGTTTCCTGAATTCATTATTTCAGTATCTTATTTAAATGTTTATTTCCAGGTGTTGTATTCTTTTCTAATTTTTGATATAGAGGAATTCTGGCCATCATTTTATTCTTTTCTGTTTTTTTACGATAATTTGTGCAGAATCTGAGAATATTCATATCCAAGTACATATATATGTTACATTAAAAGTTTAAATCTAAAGTTTAAACTTAACTATAATTATCTGTTTAAACTTTAGATTTAAACTTTTAATGTAACATATATATTGCTTTTTTACCTATCTGTAAAAAAAAAAATTGCATCATTTTTATCACAGTTACCATAAAAACCTGCAAGTCCGACAGACTGTTTTCTCGCAGTGCAAAAAAGTACTGATATGCATGATCAAAGACGTGCAATGCAAGAATGTGTGAGTGTACAATCATTAACCATTAGCACCATTGCTCATACTAATGCAATAGGCGATACATCTCACCAAATGACAAGTGGCGACTTCACCGTAGATTTCAGTATTATATTGAGGACAAAATTACCAACTGGAGATAAACCTCAAACCCCACACTAAACCGAGAATCTATCTATATGCATTTCACTGCTAACACAATAAAAAAAATACAAGTAAGGATGATCCCTTCTAAATCTTGAGGATAATTATATAAAATAATATATATTTTAAATTCTTGTAAGCAATATGAAACACACAAAATAATAGGTAAAATTAGTTAATCGTTTGTCATTTTAATTAATAACTTTGCCAAGAATATTTCATATTTTGATAAAAGAATAGAACACCAAACTCTAAGGCCACACACATTTTTTTTTTTAAATTTTCTGTTAAAGTCTTCTTTTTTTTTTTTTTTTTTTTTTTTTTTTTTTTAATCCCAAAACCAATTTTAGTTTATGTGTGCAAGTATACGAGTATACACATGTATTTCTTTTGAAATGTCTTAGAAAAAATTAAGAAATTACATTTAGTTTGAAATATCCATTGACAAAAAAAATGACCAAAAAACAACAAGCTTATGTACAGTAATAGATATACTGCATGTACATTATGAATTATAATGATTACAGTAAGAAGGGGCGTACGGAGCAAAGCGATCTAGCTCCTTCCTCATCGCAGAAAAATTACTTAATATATCTCGTACAATCCAACTTACTATTTTTTCATTGACCGATCAAGTAATGCTTTCCTTCTTTTTAGTGTTTTTGCTTTTCAAAACTGTCAAAGCAAAATCTTTTGTGAATATGAACAATTACAGAGAATTCTTAACGATAAATTATTAACGATAAAGTGAATCTCTCAAAGGAAGATTTAGCGATCGCTGAGAGGACAAAAAAAGCGGGCTATTAAAACAAAAAGAAAAAAAATATATTCCTTATAAGTATTTGAATATATATAAATGTTTTTATGGTGTTTTTATTTGTCTGTTTGTTTTGATATTACTTTTTTGTATTTAAGTGTTTCATTTTCTTTTAAACATTTTTTTGTCAAAACGTTGACCGTCCTGGCCTATATTTTAGCAGGAATGATGGGTAATTAATTACAGGAAGTAATTAATCTCACTGACCGGTAGTCAGTGCAAGTGATCTTTGACATGATTAAATGAGGTGTGAATATTAACAATATTTTCCGATGACCCTTGTTTTAGAACGATATATGTGTTATTTTTCCTGAAAAAATATAATGGAAACATCTGTATACTCTCCAGGAATATAATAAATTAAGAAAAATATTAATTAAATGAAGTTTAATTTCAATGAAATTCAATTATCATTCCAAGTCGATAGAAAATTATTTACGAAGCACACATTATAGAAAAAAAAAAACTTGACAAGTATACATGTGTGAGACTTAAAATGTGTTGATATATTGTAAGAAAGAAGTCAAGATTTCGAACAATTACTGAAATTAATATTTTTAAGTGCAATTCTATGTGAAATGTTTTCGACACCTTCCTGTCGGTACAATGTATGAGCTCTCGTACAAAAACATAATTATAACATTTCTTGTGGAATTATTTCGAGTAATCAAACTTTGAAATTTGTAAATGTACTGTCCTTTCTGACATATTCCATTTTACCAATAACATTGCAACATGATAGTCATATTGCCGATTTTAATTGGTAAAATGAAATATGTCAGAAAGGACAGTACAAGTTTTAGATTTCAAAACCTCATCATAACTGTTAAGACATCACATTAAAGTTTAAACAAGCAAACAAAAATACACAATGTTTCTTATAAATTATCCGTATATCTTTTTCAAGGAAAATTTAAAAGGATTGTAAAGCAGGATTCGTGTAGTTTTTGTCCCAACTTGGTGTGGCAATTTGCGTCATTTTTTTTCAGTTCATTCAAAATACCCGAAAAAGTTTGTCATTAAGTTTATATATCCATCTATGGCTAAATTAAAAACTGTAAATATTTGAATCATATTTATATTCTACGAATATTTATTTTCTATAGGACTCTTAACCACAAGGTACGATGATACACGACATAATATATGCAGTACAAACATCCGCGGCCATGCACAATCAATATAATAGTCATAAAAACGCCACCTAGCGTCTCTGTATATGACCTAGGGAACTTAATCAAGAATAAAGTAATGATATAATCTGAATAAAAAATCATCTTCGTAAATTTTGTGGTCGTTTTTATAAATCAAGGAAAATTTGGCTATTTCTTTTACTCGTACCCCCCCCCCCTCCTCCTTTCGAGTCCTTTGTATTGATTATCTGTACTTTTACACCTAATTAGTTTTTGATGAATTATATATTCTGCATAAGCATGTGTTTTCACGCCTTGTTGCATGTTATGACGTGAATCTAATATGCATGTATGATTGTCCAGGATCGACAAAAATTACATTACATCCTATGGAGAACGGAACAATGGAAATAAGAAAAAGAAAATATGGTTGGGGGATTTGGCGGGATATTTTTTAAAAATTTTTTATTTATTTATTTTTTTAAAGAAGTCATATCATTATTTTTTTTAATCTCTTGATTACTGTCAATTTTGATAAAAAAAAATCTTAATATTAATTTAATCCAAACTTTTTTTTGTTTTGTTTAAACGCAATATTGAGAAATCTTACATCTCTTTTTCTGTAAGAAAGGTTGACACATGCATATTTCGAGCTGTATAAAAGGTTCCATTAAGTCAACAGAAATTGCTCCATTTTCGTCAATTTATCATCTAAATATGGAATTTCACCTGCCTCCGTAGACAACTTCACATTATCATCAGCTCTAACTGATAAACGTCCCAGCGACAGAGCTTGATGGATACTCCTGCTGACGTGTTTATTGGAGGAAGCATAAAACTTTCTTCTGATCAGATAAAGGGTTTGTCATAAACAAAGTCAAATATATAAATTAAGTATCCTTGTATTCTTACTTTCTTTAATGTTTGTCAGTTTTTTCTGGCTTACATGTAGTTTTGTTTCTGGGATAAATGTACCAGATAAACTTTGATAAAAGACACTTTTTCTCATCACATTTGAACATCACAATTGAATGAACTGACAAGTATGCATTTGATGAGACAAAGCTATGGCAAAGTGTTGCATTCACAGTACATGATATTGCAATAAATGATCAATTTAAATATTGCAGGAAAATTAAAAAAAAAACAATTTCATAACATTAAAACATTCATTCGAGAGAAAAAAGAAAAAAAGAACCCCTTACCCCTCTTGTTCTTGAATTAGTTGTACTAAGTCGTTCAGTCCGACGGGAAGCTGGGTTCCGTTGTTGAGTGGAAGCTCTTGCATTTTGCATTGAAAACCTCCTGCCATTTCTAAAGTTGGAATTTGAATTTGAACCACGTGACACAGTCTGCTGCTGCTGCGAACCACGCCTGCGCTGGGCTGCTGAGAGAGCTTCCGTTCTTACAATTCGTCCTCTATTTGCGTTGTTGTTTCCCGGAACTGGCTGTGGAACATGGTTTCCTTGTGCGGTTTTTGTCAGACATAAAATCGCTAACACGAAAAATGCTAAATAAAAAAGAATTTTAACACGGGAATTCGTTGAACAAGGGATGATTCCACAATCACTGGCCATTTGTTGCAAAAAGAAAAATACTTCCACATGGAAAATAAAATCTTTAAACTACAGAATTTCACCACGGATGCATCTATTTGGCACTTGAAACGTCTGCTACTTTCCGGACTAATCCGAGGAAAATCCGGGAATCAGAACTTCATCGTGACCGTTTTGGAGATGCTTTTCTGCAACGTTGACCAAAAACGTTCACCGTGCAACGAATGCGGTGTCCATTCTTGCAATGATTGATCGCAAAATATCGTTTATGTTGATGATTGTTTATGCCCAATAAAATGCGTGTTAACCGATCGTTTTCTGTGTTTCGGCGCGTGACGCTGCCCTATGGTCAAGATAGCGTGAACGACTTATATAGGGAAAATCAGCGACGAAGCCTTGGTCACTTTTCAAGATCTACTGCAGAGAAGAATGAAATATGTCCCCTTTGTGATCTAAATATTTACAATTTCGGACCTTGAAACAGTTCTATTTGGGGAGCCACATGTTGGCCACTAAAAAAGTTGTAAGATTGTTAAACATGTTAAAGCTATGGTACAAATATATCAAAATAATATGAACTGCATTTTAAAGAATTTTATAATCAATAAGACTAAAACTATAAGCATTAATTCCGTCAGAAAAAAAAGATTTCTGTACTATGATGTAGAATTATACACATGCATCAAAAATCATACGTACAAGAGGACAATAGCGATATTGTGCTTCAATCGGAGATTCAAATATTTTTCCAGTGAAAATATAATTAATTAAAAGAAGTTTTTAAAACTTAAGTACATTTTCGGCAGTGAAATACTGTTATTTATTTTTCGAGTCATGGAAAGAATAATATAAATTTTACAACAAAATTTCTGACGTAAAAGTTGTAGCTCCTATTGTTAAAAAAAGGAAGAAAAGGTCATCAGGACCCAGCGTAATCATTCCCACTTTCTCAAAAAACCCCATAATCTTTCCGTTTTCTAGATATCTATCAAGTTGTGAATTTTGAATTTTGTTTGAATATCATGCAATTTGCTGGATGGATGTACTATGTAAATTTTGCATTTACCTCCAACCAGTAAATTCAAAATTTATACAACATGACATCTGCATTTGAATTATTTTTCTCGATCCTGGCACACGTTTGCCCCTATTTCCTTGCACGTTTTAAATTTAGTATTTAGTATTGTACATGCCTGTATGTTTGTATATTACCTGTCTTTATATTTAATACGTTCATTTTCCTTTTATATATTGGAGAGAACTAATTCGTTATTTATATATATATATATATATATATATATATATATATATATATATATATATATATATATATATATATATATATATATATATATATATATATATATATATATATATATATATATATGAATTGTCTCCAGTCAATGTGAATATGTCTTTCAAAATACGTATACATGTATTTTTGCATTTTAATTTTCAGTTACAATATTTTACATAAATATAATTTATTTGACTTTAAAAATTCGTATCTACAAAAGGCATTTCTATCTATGTACCTTACAGCCTAATTATGTACGATTATTATTATGCATGCACATTGCACATGGCTATAAACGTGGACATGATTGACATATGTACATGTCTAAGGCTTAAGCAAAAATACAGTGCGCAAATTTTATACTTGTCATTTTTAATCAGATTATTTTTGATATTTATCTAACATAAATATCATTACAAATTAGAAATAATTATCAAACTAATAGATCGCCAAGAACTGTTTTCTTTTTCAGTAGTTTTTCTTCAGAACTTACACTAAAATTTTCTTCAAATTATAATATCATTCATTCTATTAAAAGGGAAACTTAATATATCGATATTGCAATACTGCTAAAATATAGAACTAGAATTTACTAAGAAAAAAGAGTCCAATAGCCCCCCCCCCCCCCCCCCCCGCCCGATTGACAAAGCAATCTATAACAGATTTACTTGTTTATTTTATTTTTATTTCTTTTATCGCCTAACAAAAATTGATCTGTTATTAAATAAAATTGGTAAATTGGTTGAGAATAATTCAAAAACTAAGGGGAAAAAAAATCAATTTTATGGGGGGGGGGGTTAAGCAGATCTATCATTTGAACTTCCTAAACACAATCAAATCCTATTTGGGGGAGGGTGTCAAATTTCGGTCCCCAAATGTGTACAATTTCCTTGGACCTTCGATATAGATATTGCAAGAAAAAGTAGGGAAGGGTCGGTCTTTTAATAAAAATCTACATACAAATTTAAGAATGACTACTTCGAAATACCCCCTCTCCCCTTCCCGAACTACGGGCTTGGCATGAACATTCAGATCTGCAGGTGATCAAACAACGAACTGAAATGGCCTATACTGCAAGTCCAAGAAATGTACAGGATTGTCACATAGGTTACTGAAAAGGAGATGCTGGTAGTGTTTGGGAGGGGTACTCCCTCCCCGAACAGTGCCGTAGGAACCTGGGTGGGGGTGGGGGGCACGGGGGAGCCCCCTCCCCAACCCCCAATAATTTTGCCAGTGCAATAAAAGCAAAGTACTGACTTGATGGACTTTATTGTGCCCCTTCAGTAATAAAGTCTGATGATTTCTTTTATTTGCTTAAATTGGTGGCCCCCTCCCCTACTGAAAATGTTTGGTTGTGCCCCCTCCAAAATTGTTTCATAAGGGATTGCCAAAGCCACATTTACACAGTATACCATTTTGATGGAATCTGTCGAATTTTGGAAGTAATTTTCTAATAAATAAAAAAAGATACCAGTACTTTAAAGCTATATATGGCATATCTGAGCTTGAAAAATAATAATACGAGATTGGGTGTAAATATACATGATATTATGTTATTTGTAATTAAGAAATAAATAACAAGTTTAAAAACTTCAATGGGAATTGAAGTGGGTCGGTCACGTGATCAAATCCTGTGAAGGCCGAAGGCCTTCTCAGAAGATTTGATCACGTACCGACCCACTTCAATTCCCATTGAAGTTTTTAAACTTGTTATTTATTACTTATATATACATTTGAGACGGACAATCGAATGTAATCGAATATAAATATTGCACTAACTGTACGTCGTAGATTTTGACAAATTACGCTAGGTGTAAATCGGCTTGAAAAGCGGTTACGCTTCAAATTCATCTGGCAAAGGATTGTTTTGAAGGGAATATTCTGTGAGAGCTACATGTGATCAATTGTTATAGTGAGCATATTGGTGTCTGGGAATTTTTGTATTCATGAGAACCCATATTCGATGTTAAAAAACACAAGAAACACGTCCGATGTTGCATACTAAAAAGTTGGAGGAATTTCGGTCGGAAAGGGATGGATGGAGACACTTGTCCGGAACAGATAACTTGAAATCAAGTACAAAATTTGATCAAAAACATAAAATCTACGATTTCAGTAAGGCATATTTATTAATTTATGATGTTGACACGGAGACACTGGCGACAGCTTACATTGTTAAGACAACGTCACAACGATCTCGATGATGGAGGTGTGCCTACCGAACTTCCAAAGTGCAGTGTTTGTCAGCTGTTTGTGGCGTGATTGCATTACATTGATATTTTTCAACAGATTTTCAAATTTATTGTGAGTAAAGTTTAATGGAAAAAAAATAATAGCATTCAGAGGTCTGCGAGAAAAATAAGGGTAAACGTTGATACTATGCAGCTCAGACATGAAACTTATAACACGTAGTTTTCTATTCTCTATGTAAAATCGATCAAGAACGGTATTAAATACTCGTTTACATTGTAAATAAAATGATTATTATTTTACTTGCGTATTTTGTACATTTTTATGCATGAAAAACATGCTATATTGCTTAGTGGAGTAAGTCTTTTTATGTTTAGATATTATTGCGCTGTGTGATTAGGTCACGTAATGACCTATGACCTTCGAAAAACTTCATACAGGTATGAAGATATTTGCTCTCTGCATGTTTATATAATAGAGAGATACCACAAATGTATATATATACGTTTAAATTAAAATTTTCACCGATTTTGAGCTTGAATAACCTACCATTATACATTTCTGCAGTTAAATTGACTTTAAATTTGTCCGTTATTTAAATGTGGAGTTGGTAAATAAATCGGTTATTGCTTTAGATTTTTAGTATCTTTGAAACGCGATTGATTTAAATTGTGTAAGTTACAGGAAAGTCCTATCTTTATCTGTTTATATAAAGTAATAAAACAAATAGAAAGATCTTTTTAATTTTGGTTGCCTGAACTTATCAAAAAAATACGCCATTTATGACTTTAAATATATGGATTTACATGATTTTATTTTGTTACAAAACAAGAATGATTTCGAGGGGATGGCGCACTTTAAACGCACACAAGGGCTTGCCTTGTAGACAAATTGCAGCCAACAATCCGGATTTTTCTAATCTTTTCAAAATTACTTTAAATACTACTGCTTATGTATCAGCCAATGAAATCAATGATTACAAAACTTGTACGAAATTGAATATTGTTTACAAAACATGGTGGAACACTATTAAGACTGACTTTGGGAGAAAAAAAAACTGCTTTTCAGACAGCTTAGAAAGGAACATATTTTATTCCATCATACGATCGTAAGGTAAATACTTTTCAGCAATTATCAATCATGCAGTTTTCACACAAAGAACTCCAGGGGGAAATTTGAGTTTGCAGTAATTAGACATGTTTCAACATGCTCTTATTAAAAGTCTTATAGCTATAAATCTAGAACTGACATAGAGAGAGAATACTTAGGTTATCTGCTACTTAGTCAGTATTACTTAAACTAAATTAAAAGGCCTGAATGCAACTTGTTGGACAATAAGTAGCAGAACGCTAGAAGCTTGAATGTATGTGTTCATTCATTGTGTTCTTTTGTGATTATATCCCATAACGTTACACTAGCTATCATACATGATATGTAGTTATGACTAAAAATTTTATATCAGAGTGAATTTTTTCTTTCCAAATCATAACTGTTAAAGCCGGACATTTTGTTGTATTTTGATCCTGTTGATGTTGTGATTGTTGGGGTGGAATTTCTCTGATTTTCCCATTGCACCAATGACTTATAGGTGAATTACTTTTTTGCATTAGTGAACTTTTCTTTGGTTATCGTGAGAATTTGAGCCACAAAGCAGTACTACAGCTATGGAAAAAAAACGATCAATTTGCTTTGAATTGTGGGTTGAAGCGTTACTGCAGAAAAATATTCCTGCAGATCAATATGCACAGTCAGAATTTTTTCACTCATGTGTTGAGCACGCAGTTCCTTTTAATTTAATTTATTACACTGTAATGACAGTATGCATCTTTGTAACTAAAAAAAAAATAATAATAAAAAAAAATAGAAAGCACATAAAAATACTTTTAAAGAAAATATAATTGATCAAAATTATTTTGCCACATTTTTAGATCCTGAACAGACATGTCTTCGGTGGATGAGGAAAGCCTGCCAGATCTTCCCCCTGATTCTCCAGGGAGTTCTGTGTCCAGTAGATTGATGGTAGGTTAGTGAGAGGGGGATCCAAGAAATTGATTGGTGGATTCAAACTTCCCTCAGTAGATGTGATGTAGATTTATATAATTCTTCTCCCCAAACTCTTTGAAGTGAACTCTCAAAAACATTTCTATATACAGTTTTGATTTCACAGAGGTTTAAAAATATTGTGGTCCGAGGTCCAGGACCTAAATTTTATGGGACAGACAAGATAATTATCACCCTACAATAGCCAGTTGGGCCAGTTGTATTATGCAGAAAAAAATATCTGAAAGTTAAAAAAATGGAAAGAAAATCAGAAATGTGTTCCTTCTTCTTAGCTGTTTCACAAATCACATTTAGAGCAGTAGACAAAAAGTTTACTGTAAATTCAAGGCACATCGCCATGACGTTTGATATGAAACAAGTTTCAAGCATCAGTTTGATAGCGTCAGATTGACAGCTTGATACAAAATGAACCATAAGATGAGTAAACTGTCAACATTGTTTCAGTGTTTTTTTTTAATTTTTTGTTTTGCAATGGACTAGTGATTAATGTTAGAGATTAGTGAATTTCAGAAGCTGCATTGTCCTCAGACCAGTGAAAGTTTAGTGAAAATTTAAACCCCTGTCTCACTTTTTTCGGGTTTAGTAACAAAATAATTGTATTGTCATGTTCTTTTGAATTCTGACAGTTATTACAATACATAACTATGTACAATGCATATATGCAATCAAGTCAATCTTATACAGTCAAACCTCTTTATCTTGAACAGGACTGAGAAAAAAACTTCGAAAAATCAGAGGATTCAAGATATCAAGTGTAAAATACTTTTATAATAAGTGGTTGGAACTTCAAAATTACTTAGACATATCCATGTTATTCATATATAGGTGTTCAAGATAAGGAAGTTTAACTGTATCACAGTTCGTGATGATAAATTGTAGTACATGTCTCTTCTCTTTCTGTGTCAGGAGGAATATGAAGAACTTCTGAAGCATGCAGTGGTCATCCCTAACTACGACCCCAAACATATCCCACAAACCATCACAGAGGTCAGAGAGACATTTCACCAAGTAACGAGAGAGACATTGGTTCAAGTTCAACGCGAGGAAGGTACTAAATCACGATATCATAGATAGATTACAGTACTGTAAAGTCTTGTGAAGTAAAGCACTTGTAGATTACAGTACTGTAAAGATTTGTAAAGTCCCCCCCTTCAATGTTGGGGAAAATCCTGAAAAATGATATGTAGGTTATAATGTATTGTAGGCATCCAAAAATGCAAAAATTCTATTTGAATTATTTTAGTGGTATTAGTATATTAAATGGAAAGTTATTTCTTTGTATCAATAGACATTTGCTGATCCAGTTTTTCATTTTCTTTGAGCCATCATGGCTTCTGAAAAGTTCTTTTGTGAAATTATATTTTTCAGAGTCTGAAGATGATCCAGACACAACACCAGTGGTTGTCAAAGTTACCAGAGAGTCACAGCTTCCAGATTTTGGTCAGAGTCCAATCAATTCACAGCGTTCTGAACAGTCAGATCAAGAAACACCTCGAAATGAAATGTCAGCAGGTAATTGTTGGATGATAAAATGTCTGAAATGTGTTAGATGACTTGTATACAATGTACTTTGTTTTGATTCATTTTTATGGGTATGAAATTGCGTGGTCCAAAAATTTAATTTCTTTGATGTATGTAAATTTATGGACAGCCACTTTGTCCAGTTTCATCATTATGGTAGTAAAATTTGTAGTTTGTTGCTCTCCTAATCTTTTTTTTTATTACCTGACTTAATAGTGAAAACAACCAAATTCAGTGTTCAAGGAAAAAGTGATGAACCCACAGTATGCAAATGTTTTCTTTGTTGCCAAGATGGATCCATAAGGAAGAATTTAGAATTTATAAAACACTCACATCATTTCAACCCAACATACACACATTTTGAACAGCTAAAACAATTGGAGAAAATTTTCATTTTTTTATTTCATCAGAAGAACAGCAGAAGATCCCACCCCCTCTCTTCCAGTCCAAGAACACAAGCCAACCAGAGCACCAGGAGGGTCAAAGGTCATTCCATAGTGAGGGTCAAAGGTCCTTTCTTGGTGAGGGTCAAAGGTCATTCCATAGTCAGGGGCAACGGTCTTATCAAAGTGAAGGTCAGAGGTCATTTCCAAGGGAGCAGACCACAGTTGAGACAGAATATGTGTCTTCTATTGACCCAGATGTGACAAACATGGAAAATGTGCTGGATCATTGGACGTCAGATCTGAAAAAGAATGTCTTGGTAATTAACATAATTAATTTTTGTTATTGATTAAAAATAATTGCATTTTTTGACAATGTATACTTGAAAAGAAAAAGAAAAAAAAGAATTTTGTCATGTATTTTTTTTATAAGGATTGAAGAAGCTTTGTATTTGCTCATACAGTAGCCATTCATGGTGCTACTCTATTAAATTAACTGATTGGTTTTAAATTATGCAAAGAATATTTACACTGAGAGTCAACTTTTACATACACGAGAAAATTCCAAGCTTAAATTCAAATGATAGAAATACTGAACAAAGGTATTTTCTTTTGTTAATATTCTAATGCAAAATGTTAAATATGTAAAAATGTTAAATATGATTTCAATTCCCTTTGATTTTGTAGGCCGAGTTTAGTAAAGCCAAAATCAAAATTGTTGAGAGGTGCAAACAGACTTTACTCAGGGAGCAAGAATGGTAAGTACTTCAAAAAAGGATAAAAATAATAATGTTATACTTCAGCTTTTCATGGTTTAAGAAGCCTTGAGAAGATGAATTTATAATTGAACAGTTTTTTTTAAAGAAGAAATGTTCTTCTCTTTCTGAAAGTTATCTCTTTGTAACTTTGAGATAGCTGCATCTTCGCTAGCCAAGAGTTTTCGGTCCACTCTGCTCAGAGCAGACCGAAAGCCCTTGGCTAGCGAAGATGAGATAGCTGAGGATTCAAAAAAATCGAGATTAAAATACGTAAAGAAAAAAGTGATTTCGACTTTGAAATTAATTAGACATATCCATGGTATTCATGATATCAGTGTTTGAGATATTGAATACTAGTATTCAACGGTACATATCTGTCCATGTAAAGTCTTAAATTTTAAAATTTGAAATGAAATGTTTCATCCACTTCTGTGTAGCCTTTACTGTCTTTCTCAAGTTTCTCTCTTCACATTCCAGTTCTGCATCAGAACGAAGGAACCTTCAGGATGAGATAGAGAGAATGAAGGAGCTCCTCCACACGTACGAGACATCAATACAAAGAAAGGACCAGGTCATCTCTAACCTGACACAGGCCCTCAGCAAACAAAAGGAAAAGCAGGACGCCATGAAGACTTTCTCAGAGTGGAAGATACAACATGTGGATCTGAAAAGGGAGGTAAGTCTGGTGTTTATTTGTCTCATAGGAAGATAATTTAACAACATGTTGATCTGAAAAGTAAAGGTACGTCTGTTGTTTTATACATGTATGTGTGTGTGGAAGATATATGCAGCATTTTGTTGTGAAAAGAGGAGAAACTCTGTTGTCTTATTTGTGTTTGCAACACATTGCTGTGAAAAGGGGAGTAACTAATTATGTTTTATTTGTGTGTGTGTGTGTGGAAGATCTTTACAATATGTTGATGTGAAAAGGGGAGTAACTTGGATGTTTTATTTGTGTGTGGAAAATGTATACAATATGGCTGTGAAAAGGGGAGTAATTCAGTTGTTTTATTTGCATTTAATTTTTTTTTTTTTTTTAGAAATTTGCAGAGAAGCTGGCCCAGCGGTACCATGAGAGAAGACTTCAACAGAAAGTTTGGGAGGCGTGGCACTCTGTGATTGAGAACAAATGGCGAGCCAGGGTGGAGAAGGCATGTCAGGCCAAGGCTCAGGAGATCTGTATGCAGCTGACCAATGATTACGAGGCTAAAGTAGCATCTGTAAGAAGTGACACACTAATCTGTTATTATCAGCAAAAATCTGATCAATGTTTTATTTAGAATCTATTGTTTTAAGGTATTTTATTAGGCTCAATGACAATCATCATGCTAAAGCAAAGATAAGCTTCCAAAAGTCCTCTTTTTTCTCCAGAGTAATATATCTTGAGAACTTTTTTTTCAATTATCCTGACGGAAAAATGGAGATTGGTCTAGATTTTTTTATTTTGGTAAGAGGAGTTGTGTGTTTAATATTGTCTTTGTTTAACCGTTAAATGCAAGGTATACAATGTGATATTGACTCATTGTAGAAAAAGGCTTCAAATAATACAGATTGTGTAGTTATATCAAATCATATGTTTTGACAAAAGCAAATGGGTCTTTTTTTCTTACACAATCGAACCTTGTTCATGTTGTTATCTTGAACTTGATAGAACCAAGAACAAAAAAACTTTCCAATAATCAAGTATTCGATATATTGAGGTGAAAATACATAAAGAAAAAAATAAATGTAGTCGGGAATTCCAACTGACTTTGAGATATCCATGGGATATCAAATATCAGTGTTTGGGATAACAAAGTTCATTGTCTGTTTAATCTGGCAAAATTTAATGGTTATTGAATATAAGAGACCAGACCGTATTGTCATGCATAGTTGAACTTGGGTATTTCAGTCATCAGTTTCTTGAATACCATGGATATGTCCAATTAAGAAGTCTTAATCACTCTCTCTTTATGTATTTTAACCTCAATAAGCAAGACTTTGAAAAGAACAAGGTTCTTTTTCTTTGTCCCAAATAGCTCATAGATTTAAATGTATTTTTATTTCCTTAGTTGACAGAGTCCCTTAATGCTGCTCGCGAGGAGATATGTAATCTACACAAAGAACGAGAGCAGTACGAGGAAGCCATGAAGAAGGCGTTCATGCGTGGAGTGTGTGCACTCAACCTTGAAGCGATGACCGTATTTAACAAAGATGACCAGAAAGGTAGCTTTTATTCCATAACAAGTAACAATTATTTGTGTTGACTATTGTTCTTCTAACAAGCGATATCATCGATCACTTTGGATATGTTGATGGAAGTTTGACAATAATTCAAAATGAAACACATAATTTCAAAGATCCATGCAATGATAATTTAAACATGGAAAGGTTGAAGAAGTTGGTACATTGATGAACTTCTACGTACAGTCAAACCTCGTTATCTCGAACTCAATGGGACCGAGAAAAAACTTCGAGATATCCGAGGATTCGAGATATCTGATGTAAAATACTTAAAGAATAAGGGGTTGGAACTTCCAAATCACATCGACATATCCATGGTATTCAAGATATCAGTGTTCAAGATACCAGAGTTTGACTGTATAATCATCAGTCATTTAAGAGGAATATCAAATATTAGTAAATCATTGAAGTTTCCACTTGCCAATTTTTGTCCAGATAGAAAGAAGTCAAACTTTTAACCCATCAATATGACAACATTTACAACATATTTTATCAATTTTTAATTGTGTTTGAGAGAAATTCTTAAGTTTCGTATCTTTTTTACTTGCAAATATTTGTCTCTGCAAACCATTTACTTAATTGCATATTTATATGAAATGTAACACAATAAGTAATAATTGTGGACAGCTTTGCCTTTCAATTGACATTTAAAAGTCGTCTGGAACAATAGTTGTTTTACAGTATTTATTGCCTTTTTCTACTACAGAGAACAGACCATCTGGAGATTTTTCTGACAATTTAGAGAGCAGCCTTCCAGAGAAAGATTTCAGTGCCCCTAAAACTATCCCACAGGAACCCATATTTACTTCTCATCCAGGTTATGAGGCCTCTGCACCCAAGGTCATAACTAGTCAAGGGTCAAGGTCAACAACTCTATCTAGTATGGCACAGTCCAAAGCAAATATGGTATGTATTTGACTTGATGTTTGACAAAGGCCCTTTAGTTTAAATTAATTGTAGTTACCATAAGTATATTAAAATTTCTTTTGCTGAGCATATGTCTGAAGAGTACATATGAAAAACAAAATATACAGAAAATCCATCAGTGTAAAAAAAATATTGTCATTTTTCTGAGGGTTGATTCAACTATTACTAATGTGTAGGATGCCATAGATTTTACATTAAATCTAATATTTACTGCATATACTTGCCTATAAGTTGGTTGTATATTTTTCCATGTCCCTCTTATTTTTTGCCAGAATCAGTTATTTTCAGATCTATGCTCTGATATTCTTTCTTGAGTTTCAAATTTTAAAATTATGAAATTTTCAGAATTTGTCTCTTTTATGCTTATCTTTTTACTGTGAAAGTTTGAGAAAGTACTGCAGGAGCCCATTCAGGAGCCCATTAAAGAGATGGAACAGATTTTTTTTTTCTTTACAAATTAATTTCATATCAATACAATAGTGTATTTATCTGTGTTCAAATGATAATTTGGGAGATGGCAACAAATTTTAATCAATTATTCTCAACAAATCCCTTTTCATGCTATTATTTTCTGGATTGCTTAATAATGAATGAAACATTTAGCCATCCAGTAAAATATCAATACTTCTAGGACTCGCCTATACATGTAAATAGCGCATAGAGTCAAACTTTCAAAAATCTGACTTATAGGAGAGTATATACGGTAGTTTAGTCAGTGCAAGTCATTCGTGAAGTCCCTTATTATCCCTCTGTCAAGCAAGTAAATACAGGTAAACTTCAGTATCTTGAACACAGATATCACAAATACCATGGATATGTCGAAGTTTTTGAAGTCCCAACTGCTTATTCCTCAAGTATTTTACCCTGGATATTTCGAATCCTTTGTTATCTCAAAACATCTCATCCCTTCAAGTTCGAGATAACAAAGGTTTGACTGTACTTGAATGGGAATTGTACTTAAAATTATATCTCTTCACAGAGTTTTTAATGTTATTCAATATTCACAGGCAGCTACAAAAGCATCTTCTTCACAAAAAGGAAAAATGGTTCCAGCGAAAGTGACAAGTAAAATTGACAGTCATCGACCAAGTTCTGGATCAAGGGGTGGAGTTAAGACTCCACGACCATCCTCTTCTGGTGGGTCACGACCTGGTGACCTTGGGGTCAATGGTGTAGCTCCACCTATGAGTTCTGTCATAGTGGAGAGACATCAACCTGTTACTAAGGCAAGTATACATGTACATTTAAATCTGAGTCATTATTCTGAATATGGTGGGGCCCATGAAAAAACAGAGATATCCAAGGATTGAAGATATTGAGGTTAAAATACACACAACATGTAAATAAAAAGGGATTGGTCCAACTCACTTTGACATGCATCTACATAATACATGTAGTATTGGAGATATTGTTGTATGATATAGGAAAGTGACACTGTATATATCTACATTTAAAAATTGATGATTTGAAATCATTTTGCGATGTTATTTAGAATTAAGATTTAATAAGTATTCAACTGAAAGCGTGCGATTATTTTCTCAAAAATTTAATTGATTGATTATATAAATAAATATTTGCAAACAATTATCATATTCAGCAAAACACATGGTTACAGCAAACACTCAAAATGAATTTAAACTTAGCACAAAGTGATTTTATTTCCTGTATTTTTCAAAATATATTATGAACTTATCAGATGATTTCAGTAGAGAAATTTAAATATATTACAATTTAGTTTCTTAAATAATTATTGTTAAAAATATTTCTTGTTATTAATCACAGGAAACAATTGGAAAAGCTACTGCAGTAAAATATCCCTCCAAGAAAACGTCCACTTTAGCTGATCATTCACAGGGGGGCGTGTCTCACAGGAAGATAGCTGGACAGACTTCAACTGGCCCCGCCCACATACAGACTGTTAAAGTAGTGGACTGATAGTGATTAATTTTTAATTTTATAAAAGTAGCGATATGTATATATATTTTAAAATATGAAAAAAATGTGCTGAAATTCTTTAATGCATTTTCTTACTTTTTTGTATAGACAGTGGTATAACATATGACAGTGAAAATGAGTGAAAATAAGCAATGGATTTTGTTAGAGGTATTCAAAAAGTATTTTAAAAATACTTTCAGTATTTATAAAAGAAATTTCAGTATTTAAATGTATTTAATTATAAGAAAAAAAAATGTTTGTTTACAGTTACCTGGAGGACACTAGAGTTATTTCCACATATATTTTTGATTTTTAATTTAAAAAAAAAATCTTCAGTTATCATAGAAATACACAAAATTCAAGCCTTAGCTGCTAATTCTCAACCCTATGGTTTGCAAATTCCTGAAAAGTTTGACTGCAGCATGAAATGATATGTTTTTTTTTTTAAAAAAAGGTTTTATCTGTGATGTATTTATTTTAAAATTTGTATGAAATAAAATGATACAAATTTCGAACAAATTGTTAAAATTGTTTTATCACTATTAATAGACAGCCAGAAGTCAATATTGTTGTAGGGTACCCCCCACCCCCACCCCCTTTCCCATTGGTTTTGGGATATGCTGATACTACTTCCATAACTGTTGTTCTAATATTATACTGTAAAAAAAGAATCAGTAGAATCTCATAAAATCTGTCTTAATCTTTGACTGTTCTAATTGTGCCACAATGTTCAATAAAATAAAATTTCAGGCAGTTCAAATTGATTTGTGAAATAAGGATTAATTTGAGTAAGAATAGACCATAATTTATTTAAGTTAGCATTCAAATCATAACCAACAAGAAAAAAAATACGATTAATACAAAATCAGACATCAACTTTAAAGAACAGAAGTGTATTCCATTATGATATAATGTTTGAAATTTAGACCCTCCCTCCCCCCCCCCCCCCCCCAAAAAAAAAGAGTTTATTATATATGGGCCCTTACACAAAGATGTGCAAGAAATATGTCAAACATCTTAAAGGATACTTCCAGAACAATTTCTGGAATGCAAAAGTTTTGATTAATTTTCAATGAATGATGGAATATAACTCTTGAAATACCTTAATCCGCATTTATCTTCAAATTTATCTTTTCATGGTTGAATAACAAGCAAAATTTTTATTGATTTCTGTTTTATCAAGAAGAATATCTTCTTTAATAGGTTCAAACTTTTATTTGCAACCTTTTTACAGTACGATGAATATGTATTAAAAAAAAAAAGAAAAAAAATTGCAAAAGGGGTATTGTAAAATCACTTATTATCGGGGTCTGAGGAAAAATTACTGTGGATTTGATTTCGTGGTTAACAGGCCCGTAACAAGGGTTTCAAGAGTAAGGGGCCTACTTTCCATACAAAAATCTGACCAAAAAAACCCCTAACTGATCAAAAGGGGAGGGGGGGGGGACATACCAAAATAATCTAATAAGCAAAAAAAAACTAATTAACCCCTCCCCCCCCCCCCCCATTTACTGTCCAAATCCTGGATTTTGCCAGTGCTCGACCCCTTAAAGCAACAAAATCTATAGCAAAATACTATGTTCTCAGTTGGGGATATGAATCCGTGGGTCTCTTCATACCACGAAAACAACGAAAATTAAACCCCACGAAAATTTGTGATTTCACAGTATTCCCTTGATCAAATTAATAGTTTACTCATTTTGAAAACATCAAACAAAGCATCATTGCAGTTTGTACATGTACGCAGTTATTTTGCTTATATGTCCACGCCTGCCATATGTGATTCAGTCAGAGACTGTTTTAGAGACAGGTGTATATCTTAGCAGGAATGAAAACACCGGTATTTCTGTGGAATCTGTTGCCTTCGTTAGTTTTAACTACATCAAAGACGAGGGGGTGATGACCTCCTACTGCATTCATATCGGCCGACATATAGGCGTAAAAAGCTACCGTTTTTTCCAGAACTGGTTGTGTGGGAACCGGCGAGAGTAATCGATCTGTAAAAGACAATTTTAATGTTAGATTTATATTTCTAGTGTTTTTCATACACTTAACACCAAAAGATAACAAAAAAAAAAAAAAAAAAAAAAAAAAAAAGAACAAGTAGACTACTTACTTCTTAAAATCGAAAATGCAGGAAAATTCTTCGGAAAAGAAAATCCGTAAAAAACCTTTGAATATGAAAATGCAGTCCGCAAAAGGACAACATTTTTGTGTTTGATAAAGATTACAGTGGAATAAAAAATAGATTACATTTTCTAGTCAAAGTTCCTGAAATATTTTGATGTGTTCCTTCTTCTTCATGATTCTCAGTGCCGAGTTTACTGCTGTAAAACCTTTCTCTATGGGGCTTAGACATTAAACGTATTTAAGAACTTTTAATTTAACTTTTCCAATACGATTTCCTTAAGTTTTTTTCATGTTTATTTTTGTTTTTGCTTTCCGCTGCTCTGATCAGTGTTCAGTTCGGAATTTATTTTTGTACATTCTTAAGTGGCATCTATATTTTTGCAAGCTTAAGTCTTTTTTCATAAGCGACTAAAGTAAATCTGCGTGTACTCCTGTTAAGTTTCGTATTTCATTTTCATGTTTTCGTATAATGTTTTTGCTGGTTTTGTAGTTTCACTTAGGATGATTATCCTTGCAGATTGCGTTTCAATGGTATTCTGAAGTTGTTTGATAATGTCTGCTTGCTCTTTTCCAGCTTTCCTAAGATGGCCAACATCATGCGAGAGAGCTTTCAATTCTTCTTCGATTGATTGATTTGTCAGTACTTTTGCCTCTGTATACACTGTCACTAATATAATAAAACTTGCTAGAAAATAATTGCTATTTCCAATAGACTTTTCTTCAAATTTTAAGGATACGTATATCACGTATATATGCTATTGCACTTGCAGTGAACTATTCTGAACTTCAATATTATCTTCACAGGACAAACCTTTGAAAAAAAAAAAAAGGACATGAAATTTACCTTATCTAAATGTCTGGTACTTAAATTGTGCAAGTAAAACATCAAAATTTTTATTTTCTTTAATATTTTTTATTATTTATTTATATTTTAATTCTGGTTGTAACGCTGTATTTGATTGGATAAAAAAATTACTTTATATAGTATAAAATAGGTTGCCTACGTCATAATGACTTGCGTCAAAAACGTATCGATCCGCCTGACGTTACATTCAAATTTTGTATAAATTGAAGTCATTTTTTAAGGACAATCATCTTTTTTTCTTAAACCAAATGAATGAAAATTAAATCATAAGAAATGAATTGAATAGCTACCCAATTTATACGGTATAAACTGGGTTGGAACAGTTTACGCTTTTTTATAAACCGCTTCGCGGTTTATAAAGCATAAACTGCCCCAACCCAGTTTATATCGTATAAAATGGGTAGCTATTCAATTCATTCCTTAAATTTATTTAATTATTATTATTATTATTATTATTATTATTTTATTTTTTTTTTTTAGAAATTTCACTTCATTATCATTTATATATTTTGAAGTTTATGTTTAAATAATTCTGATTTATGGATTTAGAAATTTCACTGATATATACATGGATAGGTCTGTGTTATTCTTTAATGTATTTTAACTGAATATTTTAAATGTTTTCCTGATCTTTATATTTCCAGTCAACTTAGATAAAAAAGCTTAATAATATCGAATATATCATGCATCCATGTATCACTGATTGAAGTTTTCTGCATTTAGAAAGTGAGATAGGCGTAATGTCATGTATGTTTGAGTGGTTTGATTTAATGCCAATATATTTTTTTTCCTTGAAATGTAGATTTCTTTCTGCTATGCACCTGTTTTCAATGAAATAGCTAAAATTACTTTTCTCTTTACTTTGTTAGCATTATTAATTAACAATGCCCTATAATTTTTACAGACAAAAATATAGAGACATGAGACATAAACCGATTTTATAAAAAGAATTGATACAAATTTCAAGCAATTAAAACTTAGAATTATCAGAAAAAATAAGAAAAATGGTCTGAAAACGTTCTTAAAAATAAAATAACAATTTACCATTGTTCAAAGACTCAAAAATATTGTTGAAAAAGAAATAATTGTTGCGTAGTTAAGTACATGTAGTTCACTTTGAAAATATATAAAAATCAAAGTCTGTATCTATTGGCCTAAAATGTACAGTTAACAAAGACTGAATTTATTAGAATTTTAGAAACACTGTGTTAGTATTTCAATCATTTTCATTTTGAAAGATTCACTCTTAAACTGTAGAAATATGGAATTAGAGAACGCGTTCATGTGCAGTGTACAAAGGATTCTGAACGCATTGATTAGAGTCTCTTGATCCTGATTTTCGTTAAGAGCCAGTCCGCGAGAAAACCATGCAAAACCGTCCAAATCGAAGGTTGTCATATCTTGATGAAATTTGGTGGGTAGTTAGACTTCATAACATGTAATTCAAAAAAGTCAAAATTTTCTCCATCATCCAACATGGCAGCCGTAGGAAGCGCCACCTTCTTTTTGCACATTTAAGTGCAAATGCACTTAAATAATTCAAGCAAAATGGTAAAAATTACATTTGATTTATTTTACTCAAAATTAAATTTTTATTTCCTTTCAGGTATTTTCAAGTAACATATGACTATGTTCTTCTAAAACTGACATTTATCATAATCAAATACGCAACATATCAAAGGGTAGACAAATCTTTTTCTGTAGCCCCAGAAGAAGACAAAGAGAGAAGGGATATTGTTGTTGTCCTTCCAAGTTGTTCCAACCTGGAAAGTCAATCCGGCGAGGAGCACGAGATCCAAGAAAGAACTGCTCCAGCTCCCTGCAAAAAAGCGCGTACCACCATTGGAACAAGGCCTCGCACTGCGCAGCCTCGGATTAGTTCTACCTTGCCTACCTCCGGTCACTCCTGCAGTAAAGAGTCCAGGGTCCATGCTTCCAAAGTTCAGAAGGAAAAGAAAAGCAAACAGGTAAAAAGGTTAAATGACTTACAAAATAAGATATTAAAATTATTATTTAATGCTGATTTACCTTGTGAAAGGAATCTATATAATAAAGAAACCTATAGCATTTTATGAAGTCCACTAAATCTACCACATGCAATATACACA